AGATAGTCATTGTTATTATGTTTTTATTGTGGCTTTAAGACCAGACTATGCACACATGTACATGATGGCTTAGTTATTTTGTTTAAAAATATCACGTTACTATTAGGGCTGCGCAATATAACCGGTTTACCGGTATTTACCGGTTCAGACATGAAAACGATACCTATTGCGATACGCTGATCGAAAACCGGTATTTTGACATGCATTCGGAAAACTTCGTAATACTCGGAAATCTTCGGATATTTCCGCTATTTAAATTGTTCTTTTCCTTGTTTCATTAGTGCCAAGAATTACTTACAATTTTATTTTGTCATGATTAAACGTTTTTATTAAAGGTTAATCAATCATAGTGATTTTGTTGTGTTTTTGCTTTATAATCAAGCATAAACTCGATTATAAGTAGTTTTTGCTTAAAAACATAATTATTGCAATATATTGCAATACATATCGCAATATATGCTTTTCCCATCGCAATATATCGCAATGTGAAAATTCTTTGCAATACCCACCTCTAGTTACTATAAAAGTCAATGGGAAGATATTTGGATCTTGTGGATTAGTGGATTTAGTGTAGTTTTACCCACAAGAGTTGTCTTCCCGTTCATTATGTCAAGGTGACACCTGATACTGTATGAGAACAAAGACCATCTCCGATGATCGTCACTGCTCCAGTACTGACAAAAGTGTTCGGTGATAATGCCTTCTGATCCAGATATTCAGCCGACCAACAATCAATATGTTTCGTTCTGACTGCCGCCATATAACTCCAAGACTCCGCTGGCACCAGACGATGGAGCCGGACAAAGAAGGGCGGTGACTAATGTATTCAGGATGCAGACAAAGAGAGAAGAACACAGAATGGGATAACATCGTGGCGCTACTAAACATACTCACCGCTAAGATACATAGCGTTCACTGACATGAACGCTATGCAGCACCTCCATAGGCCGCAATGGTGGAAATCCTTTGTCGCACTTTCGCGCACTCGTTACGACTTTTGCGCACGAAAAAACTTATATGAATTACTTCTTTGTACTTATACCTACACGTGCGCCCTATTTTCGTTATCAAAATATCCAAAAATATATATTTACAAGCCATCAAACATCTCAGTCGATCGCTCACATATGAGCGGGGCCATTTTGAATCACGTGACCTGTGACGCGTAGGGGATATCCCTCCCAAAAATAGTAACACACGTGTTCCATACCTTGTTGCTTGTTTACAACAAATTTTCATACATTTTAGGCAATTAAAACGATTGTATGGAGATTTTCGTTTCCAATCTAGACTGACTGACCACCCACAGCTGTTTTCAAAGGAATTGCTGATAAGACTTATTAGAATATAGGAATTAAATAATGAACGAGTTCACGAATCGATTATCTATAAATTTCATTTGTACCATATAACCTTAAATATTTCTCATTTCACATTTCTCCTACCTTCATCATCATATTTATTTCCTCCTTGGATAGGAGATTAGATGTTGATTACATCAAGGGACAGTGTTTTTCATCATGAATTATGAACAAATACTAAAATAAGGGGGATACATCTAGAAAGCAATTGTTAAAAGGGGAAGGATCATTCAAATTACAGCACAAAGCCAAATGTCAAATTATTAAAATGCGCTCCGCCCGTCCGTCCGTGCACATTCGTCTTTTCCGGAGCAGAACTTCAAAACCGTTCACTATTTCTTCACCCAACTTGACACATAGATAGATGTACTGGTTTACTGGTGCCTTTTGGTAGTTTGGGATTTCTGTATAAAATAATTTTTTTGGTGTTTCCATGGCAACAATTTCGACTTTGACTGAAATTGGTGGTAGTGTTCTTTTCAGGAGCAGAACTGTAAAACCGTTCAATATTTTTCACCACAATTTGTCATCTTTTGATGACTTTTGTTTTGATAAGTTATAACAGTGAGTTTCACAAAAAAATAGACACAAGCTGTAACTATATCTCTTCCATCCCTTTGTTTTTCTCTTGAACTTGCCCTTGCAATGGGCACAGACAGTGTCATCCATGGTTTCTTGTCTCAACTTTCAACCTTGAATACCAGTAAAAAAGTGCATATCAATGTTAATTATTAATTATCACTTTAATTTAACATGAGTTTAAACTTATACCTTCAAAAGAATAAACTTCATGCACAATTTCATATCCTTATCATTGTTGATGTTCTCAATAAACATCTAATTGCACCTTGAAAAGCAGACTTTCTAAACTAACACTTCATTGATAATTTGGAAAGCCTGCTATTTTGGCTGTCAAAAGATAAGAGGTACTGTAATATTTGCAAATGAATTTTCTTCAATTGACCTAACAAATAAAAGCCTTCTGTCCAATGGTGTATGCACAAGAGTTTAAGTATGATATTTGGCATTGTGCTGTAATTTGAATGATCCCCTCATTCAACAATTGATTTATTGGTGTATCCCCTTATTTTAGTATTTGTTTACAATTCATGGTGACAAATAACACGTTTTGGCCACTTGGTTGCTAATATGGAAATGAAAAGATGATTTTGGCAAGGTTTGTAGCTGGTGCTTGAGACCTAATACAACATGGAAATATTTAAAATATTATTCAAGGTAGGAGAGTTGTGTACTGAGGAATATTTAAGGTTTTGGGGTATACATGAAATTTATAGATAATTAATTCGTGAACTCATTAATTATTTAAGTCCTAAATTCAATTAGTAAACAGTGTTTTGTGGGCAAATATCCAGGAGTAGTACAGAGACACCGGAGGAACTGTGAAGGTGACAGCAATAATCTTAAATTATATGAAGCATTGAAAACTCACCAGCAATTCCTTTGAAAACAGCTGTTGAAAAAGCAGGGGTGGTCAGTCAGTCTAGATTGGAAACGAATATCTCCATACAATCGTTTTAATTGCCTAAAATGTATGAAAGTGTGTTGTCAACAAGCAACGAGGTATGGAACACGTGTGTTACTATTTTTGGGAGGGATATCCCCTACGCGTCACAGGTCACGTGATTCAAAATGGCCCCGCTCATATGTGAGCGATCGACTGAGATGTTTGATGGCTTGTAAATATATATTTTTGGATATTTTGATAACGAAAATAGGGCGCACGTGTAGGTATAAGTACAAAGAAGTAATTCATATAAGTTTTTCGTGCGCAAAAGTCGTAACGAGTGCGCGAAAATGCGACAAAGGATTTCCACCATTGCGGCCTATGGAGGTGCTGCATAGCGTTCATGTCAGTGAACGCTATGTGTCTAGAACGCGAGTAACACAGTCAAAGACGAACATTTGCGTGACATTTGTTATTGATAAGCCTCACGAATAGCCATTAAAATATTCTTTTGAGCGCACTAGCCACCAAAGGTATGACAAGTCTCATTTCTCTCCATACACATAGGTAATACATCTACCAAAAAGCTTTCACAATCTCTACTTTCAATCGCTTGAATGCTTTCGCCTTCGCTTTCAAAATAAATCTCCTCGCAGTAATGCTATTAGACTAACGCTTAGTCTCTAAATATATATAATTTTGATAGAAATAACCAGGCCATTTAAGTTGAAAAGGAGCCCCAGGGAGACCAGAGATTCAGACCCTGAACCTGAGGAAATCTAGACTTGCTTCATTTAGGGTTTTAGCATTGCAGATGGGGTTTGGCAGTTGGGAAAATAATGTGGTTCAGGGACTGTGAGACAGACTATAATGCTATAATTTCAATCCTCAGATAGCCTAACACGAACACTTTAGAGCTACTGCTGAAAATATCCTCTTTAAGAGGCATTTTAGAAGTTGTAAAGATGGAGGAAAACCAAGTTCTATGCATAGTCAACTTCTTTATTGCAGTGAGTGCGATGTTTCTGTGTAGGTACAAACACCGTTATCAAGCATGTGATGATGTCATCACTTTCTTGATAACGGTATTTGTACCTACACCAAAACGTCGCGCTCATTGCAATAAAGAAGTTGACTATGCATAGAACTTGGTTTTCCAGACCAGACAATCGTGTGATCAACAGCATGAACATCGATCTACGCAATTCGGGATACGATGACATGTGTTAAACAAATCAGCGAGCCTGACCACCATATCCCGTTACTCGACTTTTACGACAAGCATGGGTTACTGACGACCAATTCTAACCCGGATCTTCACGGGCTATAAAAAGTGAGTGAGTGAGTATGGTTTTACGCCGCTTTTAGCAATATTCCAGCAATATCACGGCGGGGCACACCAGAAATTGGCTTCACACATTGTACCCATGTGGGGAATCGAACCCGGGTCTTCGGCGTGACGAGCAAACACTAACCACTAGGCTACCCCACCGCCCCTTTAAAAAGTGAGAAGGTATAAGTGTGAAACATCAACTGTCAACTACAACTGTGTATAGATCTGAATGTACGATTGTTCAGTGCCTTTGAAAAGCAGGTATGCACCCCGGCACAGCCAACCTCCAGCTTGATAGTCGACGTGAATGGCTGGATAACTGATGATGAGGCTAGCATCAATATTCAGCCTCTCACCCGTCTTCAGTAACCCATGCTTGTCGTAAGAAGCAACTAACGGGATCGGGTGGTCGTGCTGGCTGACTTGGTGGACACATGTCATTGTATCCCAATTGCGTAGATCGATGCTCATGCTGATGATCTCTGAATTGTCTAGTCCAGAATCGATTAATTATAGACCGCCGACTTATCGCTGGAATATTGCTGAGAGCGGCGTTAAACGTAACTCAATCAGTCAAAATGGACGGGTTTATTTGTCGGAATAAATCTGATAGAAAGTGTTTTGAACCAGACACTTATACTGACAACTAGTCTCTGAAATGAACTGATTTTACAGAAACAATAGTCCACAAAAAAAATAAATATATATAATGAGGAGCCCTGAGAAGTTCTTCATTTTCAGGAGCTGTGGAAATCTAGACTTCCCAAATATTCTAGACCTGCATGACCTTTCATGGATATATTTGCTTCAGGTCAGACTACCAGACACTGGGCGTGCTTACCTCAACTCGGCACACACACGGACCAATCCAGGAAATTACACGATGTCGCCAGTTGAGTTGCAGGCGCCTTGTATCTAGATCGTGAGAGCTAGACTGAGAGATGCCGTATGTTATGGGGATACTGATGTCATATCTATTCTCCGTGGACAAAGTTTGGACTTTACATAATAGAATACCCGGCCTTACCTGGACTTAAAAATATCTGCACATTGGGAAATCCGTAACACGAGAAGTGGAGTTGTTCTATAAATAACGACATGTCGAAGGCTGTATCCTGGAGTCGGTGCCACAACGAACACCGCCAGTAGACCTGTAGACCTTTAGCTATAGCCACATATGCGTCATTACAGAAGCTGTCATCCATAAATCAGTTTGTCTTTTATTACTAATCAATTTAAACAATGCCAATCAAAAAGATGCAGCTGTAGAGCTGGGATTGTTTAATGAACTGAGCCTTTCTTTTCAGAAAATACTTGAATAATGTCATGTCTTGAAACTGACTATTCTGCCTCAGATTATTGAATTATCGATCCCTCACTGCCTGAATAGTGAGTCAGTGAGTGAGTGAGTGAGGTTTTACGTCGCTTTTAGCAATATTCCAGCAATATTACGGCAGGGGCACCAGAAATGGGCTTCACACATTGAATAGACAATAACTGACATCTTACGCACCATTAAAATGCATAGGGAGAGTTACTGCAGCTCGAGTGCAACATTATTCATCGTGCCTCGCGGCTTGGGGTGTACGTCATCAGCACCGTCATAAAGAACTGCATTACTGTTGACGGAATATTTTCTTCTTTATTTTTTAACAGTTGCGGATTTTGTTAGTTAAAAGATGAAAAATTAAATAATAATGAAAGGGAATTTTTAACAACCTCAAAAGGCCTTTTTCATCGGAAGTGTGATGAACATGACTGACATAACAACTTGTGGTTTTAGTCGTATGAATATCCCTTGTATTACGTGTACTGTCAGAGTGATCTTTGCCATCGGCGGTATGAAACATCTGCTGAATTTGTTGCAAGTTAAGTAGACCTATCCGTAAACAGAGTGTTAGGCCACTCAGATAAACTATCCAAGTAATATAGCTTCATATTCTGCGTGTAACAGGGGCGGTGAGGGTAGCCTAGTGGTTAAAGCGTTCGCTCGTCACGCCAAAGAGCCGGGTTTGATTCCCCAGATGGGTACAATGTGTGAAGCCCATGTCTTGTGTCCCCCGCTGTGGTATTTCTGGGATATTGCTATAAGCGGCGTAAAAGCATACTCACTCAGTGTGTATCACATGCCGTTTGACATGTATTTGTCCACCATAGCTTCATGCATGGTCATACATGTTTGTGCTCTGAACTGGAAAGATAGAAGAACCAGTGGTCAAGAGTTGTTTTCGTTGAACTCCTTTATTGCGTATCGGGTCATGCCGTATCAGCATCAGGTGGAAGTACAACCCAACATGCAAGTACTACAGGTCTTACACACATAGGGATGCTACTGACAAGCCACTAGCCTATAGGGGCTGTAGGGTAGCCTAGTGGTTAAAGCGGTCGCTCACTACGCCGAAGGCCTAGGTTCGATTACCCACATAGGTACAATGTATGAAGCCTATTTGTGGTGTACCCCTCCGTGATATTGCTGGAATATTGCTAAAAGCGGCGTAAAATCATACCCACCACCCACGACTTTTCTATTTTTCTGTGTTTTGTGTTTTGTATTGGTAAAGATGAAAAATCGTTTTGTCCCCGCCTGACTGAAATTGACACGTATTCATTGATATGACCCTTCCAGTCACCTCTCTTTTCATCTACTGTGTTCTCTCTTTTGTGTTTAATCGGTAATTTAGAGCACACACTCTTGAGCAGACACCCCGGAGTCACGTAACTGTTCATAGACACCAGCAATGGCATAATGTGCCCGAGCCTGGTCGCACAGCTCGCCTTGGAAAAGTCGCTTAGAGTTGTTGACGATCGTGCAAGCGTCAATAACCGTGGATACAACATTGCAGATAAATCCACCATAGAATAGCACTTTATCCCCAGCTGTGAGACCCTTAACTAATGACTTAGATGCTTTTGCAGACGTAGACCCAACATCAGCAACTACTGGAAGAAACTCGTCAACCTTGGCGACTTCAAACGCCTGCAGCCCCACTTGAACTGGCCCTTCAATCATTCCGGAGACACCCGACGTAACGAAACCAAAATACTCAGCCTCTGAAATTATGTGTAACAGTTTTTCATTTTCCTGGTTGAACTTATCAGTCCTGGCTTTTATCTGTTTCCACATTTCCCTTTTGGCTGTCATCCTTTTTCGATGAATAGCAAAAGACGCACATCCGGAGATGACACCCAGAGCGGTACCCGCCAGCGAGATGATCAAGCTTGTTCCAAAGGTGGCAAAGGCCAATCCAAACCCAACGAAGCCCAGTGTGTTGGATATCATCCCTACAGTTGATGCGGCAATATCAGCTTTGTCAGCTTTAGTGTAGATTTGCTCCACTTCAACGCCGTATGTATAGTGAAGCTGGATTAGCTGATTGAGAAACTCGTCCCTAGATGCACGCAAAGTCTTAAATGATGTGCTGAACTGTCTCCGTATCCATTCATGTTCATCTACCAACAGAAATATGCAATATACACCTGGATCTACCTACAATTGGTGTAAGTGTTAAAAGAACAAAAAAGGTGTCATTCAAAGGGACCCGGATGACCCATTCGTCTAAATCTCTGCCATATGGGTGTGTCCCTTGGATTGATTGATTGATTTTTGTTTAACGTTGCCCTCAGCAACAGTCCCGCTATATGGCGGCGGTCTGTAAATAATCCAGTCAAGACAAGACAATAAAGTGATCAACAGCATGAGCATCGGTCTACGCAATTGGGATACGATGACATGTGTCGAACAGGTCAGCGAGCCTGACCACCCGATCCCGTTCGTCGCCTCTTACGACAAGCATGGGTTGCTGAAGACCAATTCTAAGCCAGATCTTCACATGTGTGTCCCTTGGAAGTGTCGGAAACATATGGTCGCTGATTCTAATTACAGACTCGATCCAATTACGTTTCGAGATTTGTCAGTACTAAACCCTGAAGGGCTTCACCACACACACGCCTGCATTCTTCCTTCCACGACAGGCGTAGTGGGGTAGCTTTGTGGTTAAAGCGTTCGCTCGTCGCGCTGAAGACCTGGGTTCGATTCCCCACATGGGTACAATGTTTGAAGTCCATTTCGACGTCCCCCGCCGTGGTATTGCTGGAATATTGCTATAAGCGGCTTAAGACCTTACGCACTCATTTCACAAGAATCTGACGGACTGAGTCTGACATACCCTGATAAATAACGTAGAAAGAAAACGGCGTTCATCAATCTCCCTTTCACTCACTGAGATTCCACTTCATAAGTACCTGTAGACATACATGTATATATATTGATTGAGGATTACCATTACCTGGGCTCTCAAATGTAATCGTCAAAACCATGTTGGTTCCGACCAAGTCTTTGTTGTCTTCATCGAGGTCAAGGTCATCGCTGGGTTCAGTGACCAATAGCTGTGCCTTTATATTCTGTTTTCCCGCAAAGGGCGCCTTTAATTTTGCTGCAGACAGATATTATGGTCCATCATAACACTATTTCCAAAGACGTGTATGTAGACCAAGCTAACATTCCGCGAAATCTGTCGTTTGTTGTGATCATTCACTGGTCACTAGTAGTGGACCGATTAATTGTAATAATCGAAGATTGGTCGCAGTGACTAAACGACCAAGCAATCAATCAATTCTAGAACACTTTCATTAACAGTATTTTTCACTAGGTTGGTTTTGTCTGTTACATTTCATAAGCACTACAAGCTCGTTCCAAGTCATGATTGAATTTATCTTAAAGACTCTAAGAAGAAATTTATGTTCCTCCATACTAGTCATCCTTTAAAGATCCTTTTTTGCCCAAAAAAACCCCCAAAGGTCTATTTGTTTCTTTCCTTATTTTTGTGTGCATTAACACATTTCATAAATGACGCTAACCAATTATTTTCGATGATTGATCGGTTGTAATGAACCAATCATCAATTATGAGATTTTAACCAATTCCCAACACTACTGGTCACTAGTCCAGAGAAAAGTATTGTACAAGAAATGATAAAAATACAAATATCTACAAGTATTCGGATTTCAAATTAAAATACGACACATGTCTGCAAGAAGAGCTGAGGACATTCTCATATGAGCCAATCAACACCGAGGTTTCTAAATCCTTGATATGGGTGCTCGAAGCATTAAGACAGTCGTATTCGATGTCTGTATCTCGAAAACGATTATATGCTCAGACTTCACGCAGAGAGGTATCGCATCACATTTAAAGATCTGATAATAATGGGACTGATTTACAGTCATTAGTGGCACAAAAACTATTCGCTTACCCCATTTTAAGCAGAAAAACCTCTTTACTTTTTGCCAGACTGATCGTAGTCTTTCTATTACAGCTGAAAATATAATAATTTTCAAAGAGTCAGTGAAACAGTCAACTGTAAAGTGACACTGATGCGCAAGGGTTATGTTAGAAATCTTCATAGTCATCTCGTATGTCCAACTTTTAACACCCGTGAAGGTCCGGGTTAGAATGAACCTTCAGCAACCCATGCTTGTCGTAAGAGACGACTAACGGGATCGGGTGGTCAGGCTCGCTGGCTTGGTTGACACATGTCATCGGTTCCCAATTGCGCAGATCGATGCTCATGTTGTTGATCACTTTATTGTCTGGTCCAGACTCGATTATTTACAGACCGCCGCCATATTGCTGGAATATTGCTGAGTGCGGCGTAAAACTAAACTCACTCACTCACTCCATTTTTTAACGCATCATGTCTTCTGTGACGTTTCGTTTTGTTATAGGTTTTAAGATCTATTCGCAGGGAGTCACTAAGTTTAAATGTTTTTATAGATATTGAGTAATTAACTTGATATATCATTTGTTTACGTGTTGTGCAGTTTGACTGTAATACAGTTATGAATACACAATACATATGTCACGTTACATAGAAGTGCAACGTTGTCTTCCAGTGTCTCATAGACCCACCTGGAGTTCTGCTGTCGCTCTTCCCCATTTCAGACATCGGTTGGAGTGCTGGAAGTGCAAATATAAACAAACCCAATGTACTGAAGATAATAATACAGAGGGGGATATACGCAAGTCCCATCTCCTCTCACACATGAGGAAACGTCAATTTAAATGTCTTTGATATTAGCAGTGCAACTCATTCAGTCTTTCTGGACACTGTAGGTTTCCAGGCGATGACCTTTGGACTGTACATACAGGACGTGTATGGATGTTTCATCACCATGCAGCGTTAT